AAAAAAATCAGGATTTGTTTAAAGTGTAAAATAATGCCCTGTTCCAGGTGAAAGAGCCGACTGCAGAGAATCCGCACCGCTCTCCAGCCGGGAAAGCCCGGACTCAGGCCGCACCCCGGGCAGGGCTTGCTTGTCAGCTGGCCACTGGCCTCCTAGGGTGGCACGAGCCCAGGCCCCTCCCAGAGGAACAGGCCCTGTCTTCTGAGCTCAGAGGTCCCAGGACTTCCTCCCAGGCCAGCCCGCCTCACCGCCTGCCCAGCCTGGCGCCCGTCTGGACTTAGTGTGCCAGCCGTAAAATGGGATCGCTCACATGGCTGGGGAGGCACCCTGGCCCTGCTGGTGCCCAACAGTGCTGGGCTCCTTCACAATGGTTGCCAGGCAACAGGGAAGGGGCCAGACCCGGGATAAGGGGCTGGAGCCAGCAAGGGCTGCTAGAGGCAAAATGACAGCTACTCAGAAACAGAACCTCTTCACGCCAGAACCTCACTACATCCCTGGGTAAGAGTGGGCCCTGCAGGGAGGCTGGGACGGAGGGCCTGGAGGCCAGCTATGAGGGGCTCCAGCCCAGGAGCACCAGGGAGCTGGGATGGAGGCCCTGTGGGCTGGGGAGCCCTGGGACACGGCAGGCTCGTGGTCGGCGGCGGGAGGTGGCTGCCAAGGGCCCAGGCCTCACCCCTCCCTGCTGGTGCACGGCCGCTGAATGCCAGACCAGGTGGCCAGCGTGTCTGTCAAGAGCAGAAACTGGGGCAGCAAAACAGCTGGCAGAGGCCGGCTGTGTAAATGCTGGACGCTTACTCCATAGAGGACTCCACGTCTTAAAGATGAGATAAGCGTACTCCAGGCTGCCTAACTAGGTACGCCCTCAAATAAAAACAACTCCCCTATGTGTATGTGTGTGTATGTGTGTGTACACACCTAAATATACGCACACAGGTGCATGTACAAACAAGGAAAGGCTGGCAGGGAACTAAGCCTACCTTTAGACAATGGTGACTTCTGGGGAAGGTAGATGCTCACCTTGTAAACTTACGAGCCTGTGTTAACTCTGGCAATTTTTTAAAAGAAAATTCATACTCCTTGGGTGATCACACAGGCCCCCAGCAGCACTGAGCCACTGACAACCACGGTCTGTGGAGCCCACAATGCGACACGCACACCACGTCCCCATGTGGCTAAATGACTGCTCCCCTCTGAAGCTCAGCCCTCCCACCTGCCCTCCCAAAACCTGGCCTTCAAACCCCACCCAACGCCTTCCTGGCGGGACCAACTGGTGTGTAAGGGCTGCCCTCCGCCGGGCTGTGTGGCCGCTCCACACCTCTGTCCTGGCACTTGCTCCCACAGAACAGGCTCCCCACTCCCTGCTGTTGGAAGGAGGGGTGGGAGGGTGGCAATCTGATGGTGGCATGACAGGGGGGCTCACCTTCTGTGGCAAGAGCCACAGCAGGCAGGTGCTGCTGCAAGCGCATTCACAGGGAAGCAAAGGTGGGGTGACCTGCCACAGGCCAAGCAGCTGGTAAGTGGCAGGTGGGCTGGATCTCACCTAGCTGCTGGCTGCCCTCACCAACCCGTCCTGCCTTCTCTTCCTCTTCCCTCCACAGCTATGCAGGCTTCTACCCACAGCTGCGCTACCAGGTGGGGAACACCTATGGGCGCACCACGGCACAGCTGCTCACAGATCCCAGCGTGCAGAAGAGCCCCTGCTCCGTGCTGTCCCCCATGTCCAAGCCCAAGTTCATCGAGGACTTCAGCGGGTCCAAGCCCCCCTGGATTCCCTGCCGGGACCTGAGTGAGCCCTACATCCCTCCCTACACCGGTGAGCTGTCAACCCCGTCCCTGCGCCCCCCCGATCCCCCCTCTTCTGCTCCCCTTGCTCACGGGCTGCCCTGTTTGTACAGGTCTGAAGCCCTACAAGAACTTTGAGATTCTGGGCCAGCTCCCAACCCAGGAAGTGGACACCCAGGAGCCACCAGGGGTAGAGAACATATCCAGAGAAGTTGGGCTGCCTGCAGGCTTCATGCCCTACCCCCCCTACCCACCGTGCCCACCAGGCAGGAAGGGGGACTCCAGGGACTTGGGACACCCAGGCCTGCGGCTGGCGTACGGGGAAGAGGCCTGGAAGAGCACCACCCCTGTCCATGAGGCCCCTGGGCGGCACCAGGTAACTGGGAGACATCCTGCACTGAGCCCCACCCCTACCCAGACCCAGGTGGGAGCTGCGGTGACTTGCCCCTCCCCCAATCCAGCTGTACCACTGCAGGAGGAGTGAGTACCCGCCCAGGGCCCACCAGCAGCAGACACTAGACGTAGGCAGGTTCCAGCGGCTGCCCCAGCTGGATCCCCCTAACCTGATCCAACGGAAAGCCATCTCAGGTGGGTGCCTGGGGACTGGGCTGGTTTGGACAGGGACACCCCTCCCCAAAGTTCCTGGAGAGTAGGGGCCCCTTCCTCTTGCACCTCCCAGCTGCTTCCTGGAGCCCACTTCTCCTGACTCCTGCCCACCCGTTTGCTTGGCCCCAAGAGGCAGTTGCTAACATTGAGGGAAGGAAAGCAGCCTTGACTGGCTTCCCTGACACATCTGGGAGGTGGGCGTGCCCAGGGAAAGGCCAAGGGGACCCGGGGTAGGACCCTGACATCTGCCCACTCCCAGGCTATGCTGGCTTTGTCCCCCAGTTCACCTGGGTGATGGGGGTGAATTACCGTGATGGGGTCATACAAGCTATGGACCAGTTCGACAAGAACCAGGTAGGACAGCCCCATGCTGGGCCTGCTCCCAAGTGCCTGGCTCCCAGCACAGCTGTCTCCACCTACTTTGCATTTCCCTAGCGGGGCTGTGAAGGCCAGGCTTCCTCAGAGGCCCGGGGAGGGGGGCTCTGCTTGGCTCAAGGGCCTGTCCCCTAACAGTCTCAGCACCCCACTCTGCAGTGTTTTGGACTGAGGGGGACTAGGGCAGACAGACCCGAGAGCATGGGCCACTTCCCCAGTGAGAGCGCCGGCACGCCAGCCCTCAGCTGGGGCAGGTCAGGCCCCAACTTGGGTATTTTGCTCACTGGTTACGAGCTGGGGGAGGCAGTGCTTGTCAGCACCTGCCTGTTTCCCCAGTTCCTGTTCAGAAATCCCATCTGTGCGCTGGGTGAGAGGCTGCCTAAGACTCACTGGCCCAGCAACACCGTCTACAGAAGCCAGGGCCTGATACCTTTCTACATGGGGTTTGTACCATGTGAGTGCACAGGCCTGCCGCCTACCTACCAGCCCTGCCAGATGCCCCTACACCCAGCTTGTTAGGACAAGGCCATGCTGACACACCAATCCACCATGGGGACAGGGTGGCTGGGGCTCCTTACTCACCCCTCATTGCTGGTACAGGGCCAGCTGTCAGACCAGTCCCCAGGGTCCCATCTTAGGGCAGGACTGCCCATTTTTACCCCTTCCCCCATTTGGAAAGGGCTCCTTGGTCCATCCTATGAAAACCCCAGACATAGCCAGCTGGCCTCTGGGATGGGATAGGCCTGCCTTTAGGGAGCAGGTTCCCCAACAAGCAGATGCCCCCAGGGCAGCCCCACGTTCCCTGGAAGCCTGCTGTGCTCACAGCTCATGCTGACTCCCCTGGGAGCCGATCGCATGCTTGTCCCTGGGTATGTGGTAATCTTGGCTCAGCTGCGGCCTTGCTCCCTCGCAGCCATGCGGGACAACTACGCAATGACGTTCGGCAACAGCACGCGGAGGGCCTATCAGAAGGAACTGCAGAGGCAAAACCACACACTATGAAAATGCTTTAATGGTGGTGTCTGTACAGCATGTGATGTCAAGACAAGAACAGCAAGTGCACACACAGTGAGACGTGGCCATCAGAACACGTTGTGAGTGAATAAAGAGCTCACACCGCTTCCGCGTTTACCCCAGTGAGACGGCTCTATGCCACCTCCTCCTCGGCCTCCTCCTCAAACTCGCCCTCCTCCTCGGCCGTGGCGTCCTGGTACTGCTGGTACTCGGACACCAGGTCGTTCATGTTGCTCTCGGCCTCGGTGAACTCCATCTCGTCCATGCCCTCACCTGTGTACCAGTGCAGGAAGGCCTTGCGCCGGAACATGGCTGTGAACTGCTCCGAGATGCGCTTGAACAGCTCCTGGATGGCCGTGCTGTTGCCGATGAAGGTGGCGGACATTTTTAACCCCCGGGGTGGGATGTCACAGACAGCTGTTTTCACATTGTTGGGGATCCACTCAACAAAATAGCTGCTGTTCTTGTTTTGGACATTAAGCATTTGTTCGTCCACCTCCTTCATGGACATGCGGCCCCTGAACACGGCAGCCACTGTTAGGTAGCGGCCGTGGCGGGGGTCGCAGGCAGCCATCATGTTCTTGGCGTCAAACATCTGCTGGGTGAGCTCAGGGACCGTCAGGGCCCGGTACTGCTGGCTGCCCCGGCTGGTCAGTGGGGCAAAGCCAGGCATGAAGAAGTGCAGGCGGGGGAAGGGGACCATGTTAACAGCCAGCTTCCGGAGGTCAGCATTGAGCTGGCCGGGGAAGCGCAGGCAAGTGGTGACCCCACTCATGGTGGCGGACACCAGGTGGTTCAGGTCACCGTATGTGGGCGTGGTTAGCTTTAGGGTTCTGAAGCAGATGTCATAGAGAGCTTCGTTATCAATGCAGTAGGTCTCGTCTGTGTTTTCTACAAGCTGGTGGACTGAGAGGGTGGCGTTGTAGGGCTCGACCACCGTGTCCGACACCTTGGGCGAGGGCACCACGCTGAACGTGTTCATGATCCTGTCTGGGTACTCCTCCCGGATCTTGCTGATGAGGAGGGTACCCATCCCCGACCCAGTCCCCCCACCCAGAGAGTGGGTCAGCTGGAAGCCCTGCAGGCAGTCGCAGCTCTCGGCCTCTTTCCTCACAACATCCAGCACCGAGTCCACCAGCTCCGCACCTTCTGTGTAGTGCCCCTTGGCCCAGTTGTTCCCAGCACCACTCTGACCTGTGAGAGAGGACAGCTGGTCACTTGCTAGCCAGGTATGTAGTTGCCACGACCCGTGCAAAAACGGGCCAAATGAGATAAGAATTCACTCTGGATAGAGCAAATAGACTCCCAAAGTGACAGACAGCAGCCTGCCCTGTTAGCCAAACTTCAGACAGCTCAACAACAAAACCCTGCCCAGACAGCACCTCCAGCTCCCAAGGACGGAGCAGCAGTCGCTGCCTCCAGCTCGGCGTTCCCTGCGAGGAGATTACATCGACGGCTCCTCGCAGTGGGCAGACAGCTGGGCCTTCCTCCCAAAGCCGCTTTAGGAGAGGGATTGAGGGACTCAGAGGGGAGGAGGGTGCCCACGTTTGTCCCGCCCCACGGTTCTCACGGCGGTGACCTTGAGGAAGCCCCTCGACCTTTGAGCCGCCCTGACTGACATGCCGCCGCCCAACCCCCACCGGCGGCTCACCAAAGACAAAGTTGTCCGGCCTGAAGATCTGCCCGAAGGGGCCCGAGCGCACTGAATCCATGGTGCCGGGCTCCAGATCCACGAGCACGGCGCGGGGCACGTACTTGCCACCTGGGGAGACACGGGGGAGGAATGAGCGAGGAGAGGGGACATGGGGTCGCAGAAGGGCGGACAGGAGGGGCCAGGGTCTCACCGGTGGCCTCGTTGTAGTACACGTTGATGCGCTCCAGCTGCAAATCGCTGTCCCCGTGGTAAGTGCCGGTGGGGTCGATGCCATGCTCGTCGCTGATCACCTCCCAGAACTGCAAGGGACGCGGGCGGGCAGGGGCTGAGTCACGGCCGCCGGTGCGCTGGGGCGGCCCCGCCCCGGACGGGCGCGGCGGCCCAGCCCTCCGCTCCCCTCCCCCGCCCGCGTTCCCCCAGCCGCCAGGGCCCCGGGGGCCTCGGCCCTGCCCGCCCGGCCCCAGCCCCGCGCAGGGCGCCCGGGGCCGCAATGCGGGGGCGCTGCTCGCCCGGCCGGCCGCTGCCGCCATCTTTCCCGGCCGTCCGCCCCGCCCGCAAGCCCGCGCCGGGCCTCGGCGCCCTCGGCCGCTTACCTTGGCGCCGATCTGGTTGCCGCACTGCCCGGCCTGCAGGTGCACGATCTCCCTCATGGCGGCGGCGGCGGCGGCGGCGGCGGCGGCGGCGGCGGCGGCGGCGGCGGGGACGAGGGCAGCAGGCAGACACACAGGCGGAGGAGCAGGCGCGCAGAGTGCTACAACCGACGCTCAGCCAATGCTTATATACGCGCCGTGCCCGCCTCCGTCAGCCCCGGATTGGGGTGCCAGAACGAGGCTGGCAAGGAGCCTCGCTTGATTGGCTTTGTCCCCGTCAATCAAGCCGCCTATGGCCCGCCTTCCTAATGCCGTCAGCTCCTTATTGGTCAGCCTCGGCCTGCTATCTCCCTATCACAATCCCCCCCCCCTCGCGCTGCGGTGCTCTGTCCATTGGGTGTTTCAAATGATTGATTTGCCCTCTCATTGGCTGGCTTCCGGGAGCACGCCGACAGGTTGGCGCTATTGGCCGCACGGGGTCAGCGTCCTGGTAACCGCCGCAGTGCAGCGGGAGACGCGCGCGGGCGGGGCTGGGCTTCCGGCCGGGGAGGGCAGGCCCGGCGGTCGAGGGCGGGCGCGGTCCTGGCCCCGAGCCCGGAAGGAAGGTTCGAGGGTACAGAAGCGACCCTGTGTCCCCGCCGTGCGCTTTCTCCGGGGCGGCTGTCGCGGAGCGACGCGACCCGACCTCCCCGCACCGAGCGAAGGGACGCCCCACCCCCACCCTGCGGGAAGCGCGGGGTCATGCGGTGGCGGCCCGGCCCAGACGCGGGGCGACCCCGGGGGTCTCCAAGGAAGGAACCGGGGCTCAGGTGCCAGGGGGGGGGCGGCGCCACGACCGGGATGTCCGCGGGGTAGGGGACGCTGCCCCAGGGCAGCAGAGCGTGGCGGGCCGAGTCCGCGGGCTCCTGCTCCCCGGCGCCCGCTGCCCTCGCGGTCCGGCGGGGGGAGCGCGTGGCTTCCGCTGCGCTGCAGGCAGGTCGGGTGCAGGGAGGGGCGAGGAGGGGTGCGGCGTGTTGTGGAGACGGCGCTGGCCGTGCGCCCGTCGCCTTGGTGCCTGGGCCCCAGGGTTGCGCAGAGCTGCATGGAGACGGGATGGCGACCAGACCTCCCTCGACGGATGGGCCCCGACCTCTGGGGGCCTGGGCTGACGAATAGTTTTATTTCTATTAATTTACGACATGATTTACATTGGGGAGAAAATAATTTATAAGAAAAACAGTTAAATTGCATGTGGTTGCACCTTTAATCAATCGCTTTAAAAACAATGCACTTACATTATGTTTTGGTAGCATTTTTATTTTTCTTTAGAGAGGAGATCCTGCTCCGCCTCCCAGACTGCAGAGTAGTAGGTAAAACACAGCTCACTGCAGCCTAGAACTCCTGGGCTCAAGCAATACTCTCTGCTTGGCCTCCGGAGTGCCTGGGACTACAGGCACGCACCACCACACCTGCCTAATTTTTCTATTTCTTGTAGAGACTGGGTCTCGCTATGTTGCCCAGGCTGGTCTCAAACTCCTGCCTCAAGCCACTCTCCCGTCTCACCCTTCCAAAGTGTATTTTGGTAACATTTTTAAAGGAATAAATTACACAATCAGTTCTGTCCTGGACAGTCTCCTTTGCTGTGGCGACTGGGCCTCTCTAGATTCTGGCTTTCTGGGAACTTCTTACCCCTTTGCCTCTCAACCAGAGGGTGTTGGGGGCAGTGCCTGCTTATTTCTTCCTAGAGGGGAGGCACGCCCACTTCACTACATAATGCATGATACCACAGTATTGTGCTACACACTGACAAAAACTGTTAGTCTTTGGGGAATCTGCCAGGACCAGCTGCACCCTGGGCATGTGTGGAGATTGGCTTTTTCATTTCGGGAGAGGGGTCTGTTGCCGTTGGCCACCCTGACCAGGAGAGTAACCTTACCCACAGATGGGTCCAGGAAAACAAGCCTGGCTTCTTTTTTTTTATTGGAGACAGGTGAAAGGATGGCATTGCTAATAAACTAACAGAAAAGAGAAGAAAAGAAAGATGACAGCACACAACTTCCCCTGTTTGATTAACCACCTGGGGCTTAACTCCTTGTGTTTAAGAATTTGTTTTGGCAGCACTTGAAGAGTTCCCAAGCAGACAGCAGGGGTGCGCGCTCCTTCCCACGTGCACCAGATCACATTCCAAGGAAGGAGACTGACAAAGCTAGTGTCATACAGCAGAGGGGGAAAAAGGAAAAGACGAACAGCCGGCTTCACAGCTGCCTCCTGTTACCATTTTGCAGCAGTAATTATTTTTTCCCCTTTATCCCAATAAAAACCCTAAACACCTTACCCTCGAGGCCACCACTTCTTTCTTTCTTTTGTGCCATCCCCTTTCCTCCCTTGGAAAATAAAATAAACTTTTTCTCTAAGCCTGTCCTAATCTTTGTGTCGAGAATTCTTTCTAAGCCCATGCTTCAAGTTCCCACCCTAACAACAGGGTCTTGCTCTGTTGCCCAGTCTAGCATGCAGTGGCATCATCACAGCTCACTATAGCCTCCAACTTCTGGGGTCAAGCGATCTTCCTGCCTCAGCCTCCTGAGTGGCTGGGACTACAGGCGCACCACCATGCCTGGCTAATTTTTCTTATTTTTTTGTAGGGTGGGGGGTCTCACTAAGGGGTTGCCCAGGCTGGTCTTGATCTCCTGGCCCCAAGCAATCCTCCTGCCTTGGACTCCCAAAGTGCTAGGATTACAGGCGTGAGCCACTGAGCCCGGCTAAAACAAGCCTGGCTTCTGTTGACTGCTCTCAAGCAGACCTCATCCCTCAAAAGGGCTGGAGTCTTGCATGGGTGTATGGGATGCACAGGGTCACTGCCAGGCATCCTAGGGTCCTCTCAGTGTCCAGAGCACTCCCTGAGTTGGCTCAGCACCTTGTGGAATAGCTTAGCTGCCCAAGCAGTAGACAACGAAGCCATTTAAGCCTCATAGCAGGTGAAGGAGGGAGAAACTCAAGATTTTTTTTCCCCAACTAGCTGTGCAGAGCCCTGTCCAGGTTGCTCCTTGAGGTGTTTGGGTCCCTGGCATTCTCAAACATTGTCAAAGGCTCCCCACTGCACCCCCAGGCTGTGTGGCCTGAGATCCCTCCACTAGAAATGCTCCTGCTTCCTCTAACCAGGGCCTTCAGCGCTGGGAGGTCAGTGTGGCCTCCCATCGACAGGCAACAAAATCCAGGTTTTGCTGCTTGCCCAGGTGTGAGCCCCAGAGCTCACCATGGCACAAGCCATCTGCCTTGGCCCTCGTGGTGCCCTGGTGAGGTGGACACTGGCTAGGACAAGACAGCAGGAGACTCCCTGCAGTGCTTGGGCCTAAGACCCACAAGGACAGCAGCTGCCAGTGCTGGCACAAAGCTGGTGGAAGAAGGCCCTGCAGCCCCACCCTGAACCAAGGGTGCCCCCACTCCAGTGTGAAGAGGCAGGACAGTATGGGGTGGGACGGTCAACCCCTGGGCCCTGGGGTCCATAGCCAGGCAGAATGCAGCCCTGAGAGAGCCAGAGAGCAGGGACATGGGGCAGGAGGAGCCGTGGGAGTGCTGGGTGCCTGCCCTCCTTCCCCGGCCTGTAGCTGCTGGACGAATCCACAAGGAAGGCTCTGTTTACTGGTGGCCATGGTCCCAATGGGAGGGTGTATTACCACCAGGCAGGGGCAGCAGGCAGACAGTAATTGGCGGCCTTAAAAGACCCAGTGGTCAGCCTTTGTGGGAGGCCTCACCTGCCCTGGAAGGAGAGGTGCGTGGGGTACTTTCCCACACCACAAGGGCCCCACTGCCTTCCCCCAAAGGGCAGGGCAGCTTCCCCCAAGCCTCACTCTCCCTGGGGACTAGCTAGGCCTGTCCCCTGGAATGACATCAGAGTACCATGAGGCTGATGTCAGGTGCACAGGAGCAACCGGGAATCAGGGTTGGGGGAACCAAAGCTGGGATATATGAGCTAGCTGTGGGGGGCCCTATTCTTGCTGGAGCCCAGCCCCAAGGTCCCCTTGGCTCCTATAGCAGGCAGTCACCTCCCTCGGTGGACAGGATGAGACTCAGGCCCAGGAGGCCTGGGTGCCTGTGGGATGGGTTGGGTGCCGAGGGGGCAGGGAGGTCCTGGGGGATGTGGGGGTAAGGCAACCTGAGAGAGAATGAAGGGACAGGGCCAGGGCAGAGATGGCCCTGGGCTCCCACAGGCCTCATCTTCCTGACGAGCCGCATACCAGCCCCATGGGATTTGACCAAGCAAACCTGGCAGGGGCTGGGAAGAAAAGTGCCCCCATCACGACAGTGGTTCTGGATGGGACATCGCCAGTGGACACAGCTCGGACTCTGTGGGAAAACCTGAACCGTCCCCGCAGGGGTCAGCCCCTCCGTCCATGCGTCTGCTTGTGCCTGGCCGAGGGCTGGGGTCCCGGGACGACCCGAGGTTTGATTCTTTGGTGGAGCGTAGGGTCGGGTTGGGGTGCGGGCAGCTCTGGGCTGGAGGTGGCGGGGGCGCCGTTTCCCGGGTGTCCGGTTACCCGCCGCCGGCAGAGGAGCCTTCCTGTGCGGAAACCCGACCGCACCGCGGGGGGCACCCGCCGGCCCAGGGCATCGGCGCAGGCGCCAGCCACTCCCCGGGGCGCCTCCGCAGGCCTTCGCGGCCTCTGCGGCAGGCCCGGCTCCCCGCGGGCTCCGCGAGCTCAGCACCGGCCCGAGCCCGGGAGGGGCAGGCCCGCGTCCCTGGGGACCCCGGGCCCGCAGAGACACACGCAGGGGCTAACTGGGAGGGGCACCTCGGGACAGCCGGCCCTTCCCGCCGTCCTGGTCTCTCCTCGAGCCCCCGCGCACCTGGCGGGACTCGGCGCCTGCGGGCGGAGGCTCCCTGCTCGCTCAGGCCGCTGCGCCTCGGGGACTGGATCCCTCTCTGGCTGCGGGAAGCGTCCGCCCCCAGACCCGCGGTTCCTTCCAGCCCTACGCGCCGAGGGGCCGGAAACGCGCCGCCGTCCGCCGGCGCTCGGGGCCACTTCCGCCACCCTGCGCCGCCTGCCCCGAGCGTCCCCAGGGCGCAGCGGCCGCGCGCTCGGCCCTCCCCGCATCCCCTGCCGGGCAGTGGACACCGCCACACGGGGTAACAGCCGGATTTATTTGCACAGAAGGGGAAGCAGATGACGCAAACGTCCGCTGCTGCTAGGAACCGCCCCCCAGGGGCACCTGGGCAGGCTGGCCGGTGAGGGCTAGGGTGGTCTGCTGTGGAGCCCACCGCTCACAGCTGCTGGGAAGCCAGGACCTCAGGGTTCTCATAGCAATGGGCATCTTTGTCAGTGGCCTCTGCGGGGCTGCAGGCCCTGCAGGGGCAGCAGCGCATCACCAGGCGGTCCCAGGGCTCCAGAGAGTGGAGCCAGAGGGGCAGCCAGGCCCAGGACCGCAGGCGGTGGGGCAGCCAGGCCTGCCGGTGCCGCTGCAGGACATTGATAAGGACGACAAGGAGCACTAGCCCCACCAGGGAACCCCCAACTGAGGCCAGCACTGTGCTCCCTGCCAGGGAGAGCCCAAAGGCGGCCAGGGGCAGCAGCAGGAAGCTGAGCAGCAGGTAGGCAACGGCTACCCAGCGGTAGCGGGCAGTCAGGTCCCCAAAGTGCTTGGCCAGTGGGATGGGCAGCCGCATGGCGGGCACCAGGTACCACAGCAGTATACCGGCCAAGTTGAAGAAGAAGTGGATGAGGGCAACCTGGGGGGGGAGGCAGGGCAGAAGGGGTCACCTCACCCCGGGACCCTTGCCCTCCCCCCACCCTGCAGAAATGGCCCCATGTCCAAAGCTTGTCTGGCATCCTACTGAGACGTGCTGCCTGGGAGGGCAGATTCTGGCCAAGTATGGACATGCTCCTCTCACGGCCCCCGACTCATACACTTTGGAGGTGGGCAGGAGCACAGCCCAGCACCCCAGCAGGTAACTTCATCACTGCTGCCATCAAGCGATGACCAGCCATGGATCATGGGTTGTGGGTCATGGATCCACAGTGAGATCACGCCCTCCCCTGGACTGACTTAGCTTTGCCTAAGCCTTGTGCCCTCTCCTCTCCGGGATGAGCTTTGCCACCCCAGCCAGGGCTCTGGCAGGGAGAAGGCACAGGACCACATATGGCGGGAAGACATAGAGCTTCCAGGGGCTGCCAGATTTGGAGGGGTCTGTGCACAGGTGAAGTGTGGAGTGCTTCCTGGAGAGGGTGGAGCAGGACCCTGCACAGGGAGAATCTGAGTGGAGAGAGACAGGGCAGAGACAAGGATGCAGGTGGGAGCCCAGGAGAGCCAGGTTTGTCTCCTCGTGAGCAGCAGCCTAGTGTGATCCAGGGTTTCAGGGGCTGAACCTGCCGGGCACCCAGGCAGCAGACCACAGAGGGGATGTTTTAGGGCAGTGGTCCCCAACCTTTCTGGCACCAGGGACTGGTTTCATGGAAGACAATTTCTCCACGGACTGGCAGGGGGAGGGGAGTGGAGCTCAGGGAGTGATGGGAGTGATGGGGAGCAGCTGTAAACACAGATGAAGCTTCGCTTGCTCACCTGCCACTCACCTCCTGCTGTACAACCCAGTTCCTAACAGGCCACCGACCGGTACCGGTCCACGGCCCCGGGGATTGGGGACCAAAGTTTTAGAGAACAGGCACGACTGAATGGGACTGGGTGTGGGGCACAGAGCTAGGGGTCTGGGATGGGGAGGCCTCCTGGAGAAAGAATCACAGCCAGGGCATTGTCAAGCACCTGGCACAGGTGGGAGGGGCCTTTTCAGGATAGGGGCTGGGAAGCTGGGCATTGTCCAAGTGGGGATTTGCGTTTAGGTGGCTGGTACACAAGGGAACAGAGGATGGGGGTAGAGGCATCCTGGAGGTGGTGCAGTAGAGGGGCTCGGAGCCCCCAGGGCTGGGGCAGGCCTCCAGGAGACACGGTAAGGAGCATAGGGTGGAGGATGGAGGGGCAGGGGGTCCCTCAGGGGAGGCAGGGGCTGCTGAAGAGAAAGGGGCACAGGGCATGGGGGTGGCCCAGGGCCACACGCTGAGAAAACCTGAAAATGACTAGGTCTCCGGGGGAGGAAGTGCAGGGCAGGGGCCAAGAGATGCCTGCAGAGTCCTTGGGGTCTGAGGAGGTGGGGCTGCAGGTCTGTGGCTGGAGCCAAAGAAGGGGGTCCAGGGAGAGCTTGGGCCACAGGCAGCCTGGGGCCCCAGGGCTGGCTGGACACAAGGGGAGTGAACCTGAGAGAAAGCCCCAGGCCCGAGCTGGGAGCAGGAGAGGCCCGGGAGGGATGAGGGCAATACCTGGACGGCGCTGAGCATCATGTCTGCTGGGCTGGCCAGGGCGGCCAACAGGGCGGTGGTGGTGGTGCCAATGTTGGAGCCCAGGAGTAGGGGGTACGCCCGGTCCAGGCTGATCACCCCGACCCCTGGGGGAGCTGGGGGTGACCACCGGGCCCCAGCCCCAGCCCCCACCTCCAGAGGCCCACTGCCCACTGCACTCACCCATGAGGGGCACGATGGCTGCTGTAAAGACGCTGCTGCTCTGGAGAACGAAGGTGAGGCCGGCACCCACAAGGATGGCCAGGTAGCCACTGAGCCAGCCGAAGGGGAAGGGGAAGTCTGGCGGGGGGCAGCTGGGTCAGCTCGGTCAGCTCTGCTGGCCCGCGGGCAGCCCTCCCCGCCGCGCCCCCAGGCCCCGCCCCGCGACCCAGGCCCCGCCCCGCCCCCTCACCGGCGTTGACGACCGTCCGCACCGCCTGGGCGACGCGGCCTCGCAGCACGGAGTTGAGCAGCTTGACGACGAGGACCAGGCAGGTGCAAAGCACCAGCAGGGAGCCGGCCAGCAGGATGCAGCCCACGGCCGCGTCCGTGAGCGCCGTGCCCGCAAACAGGTGGCCGCCTGCGGGGGGCAGCGTGAGGCGGGGCCGGGGGCGGGGCCGAGCCGGGGACGGGGCGGGCGGGGAGGGGGCGGGGCCGGGCTCACAGCGCAGCCTGTCTGCGGCGGCGGAGCTGTTCCTCTCAGCGCAGGGGCCGAAGGCTCCACATCCGCTGCTGTTCCCCTGGGTCTGGGGGCAGGGAGGACTCAGGACGGGATCAGGGGGTCAGTGGATAGACGGAAGTCAAAGGGCTCAAGAGTCAAAGTGCGCGGGGCGGGGCAGTTCAGCAGGCAAGGTCAGGGGTCAAATGAGGGGTTGGGGTCCGGCCCCCTCACCATCTGCCCTCCCGCGCTGCACCATTGTTTAATGATGCTGCTGTTGGTGGCCTTGCCCGTGGCACTGCCCACGATCACGCCGGTGTCCAGCTGAGGGACAGAGGTATCGTGACCATGTGCTGGACCCCCCCTCAGGACTCACCTGGGGCTCAGATGCCCATAGGGTCCAGCCCTGTCCCACCCACTTCTGCCGACTACTGTCCTATCCGGATGCAGGGCCCAGACCCTCCTCTGTCCCCTCCGTCCAGGACAGGGCCTAGGCCTCCACCTGCCCCCTCCAGAGCTCAGGCATCCTCACCTGCACGATGAGGTGTGTGAGTGGCTGGGTCAGCACTTTGAGGATGTCGGGTGCCTGCACCCGGGGCTGCAGGCCGGCAGTGCCCAGGGCCAGCTCGCTGAGCCACTCCAGCACAGCCGCCATGCTCTCCAGCGGCAGCAAGATCAGTACCGTGAGCCAGTTGAAGATGCCATGCACGGCCGAGCCGCTGAAGGCCCTGTGGCCACACAGGGCTGGTGGGTGGGGCGGCCTTGGTGGTGGCTGCGGCTGCCACTGCAGCTCCGGCCCCCACCCTCCTGTCCCCCACTCACCTCCGGAACTCATTTCGTTCCCCTGACTGGGCCATTGAGACCAGGGTGCTGGTGATGGACGTGCCCACGTTGACGCCCATGATGACAGGCACGGACGCCTGGACAGTCAGCACTGAGGGGTGGCCGGGTCAGCCTGTGGCCCATCGCACCCCCCACCCCCCGGGAGGGCAGGGTGCACGCACACTGGGAGGCCACCATGCTGACCACGATGGAGGAGGACGTGCTGGAGCTCTGGACCAGGACTGTGACCAGCACGCCGATGACCAGTCCAGCCACAGGGTTGGACAGCACCACGTTGTCCTTGAAGATGTCTCCAGCCACTTTGCCTATGCCCAGGAAAGAGGGCTGTTGAGGCTGCAGAGGGTGGTGGTCCCCCAGCCCCTCCCTGGCTGCCCGCCTGGTCACTCACTGCCCAGCAGCTGGAAGGCAGAGCTGAGGGTGTCCAGGGAGCAGATGAAGAAGTACAGGCTGCCAAGTAGCCCACAGGCCTGGAGGAGGCTGATGACCACCCGGCGCAGCCTGCTGGCCACACTGAGCTCTGAGGACACAGGGCAAGTCTGTCCTCAGCCAGCCCTCCACCCTGCCCAGCGCCCTCCCAGGCCCCTTCCTCCTCTGTCCTCCACAGGGCAGGGGCCCATTCCTGTAACTCCCAAGGCAGAGCCAGGCCCTCCTTGCTCTCCAGAGCAGGACCTGCATCCTCCTCTGTCCCCCACCATTTCCTTTGCAGAATGGCGGAGCCAACAGCCCCTGGGCCCTCCTGGAGCCATAAGCCAGCCAGGAGGGGGCAGATCAGGTAGGGTGGCTGTCCATCGCAGGGCAGAGCGCACCCTGAGATGGGGATGTGGGTGGCCATGCGCTGGCCTGCATGGTGGGTTTCCCTGTGGCTTTATTGGGCCAGCCCCCCCTTTCTGTCTCTCCCCATGGCCCTGGGAGTCAGGCCTGCATCTCCCAGAGCCCTCAGACCTACCTTTCCAGGACTGGCCAGTGTCCTTCAGCTGAGGGAGGGCCCAGGGGTCAGTGTCCCTTTCCTCCAAGACTGGGGCGGGATAGGTGTTCCCTGTAGGGGGGTCAAGTAGGACTGTTTCTGGGACCCAGTCCCGGTTGGGGTTGGAAGGGGCAGGTCGGGGAGGGCCTGAGGCATAAAGGCTTGGGCTGAGACACAGCGACAGGGATGGGGAATCCGAAGGGGCCGTTGCTTATCTGGCCTGGGACAGGGCTGTGCTGAGCCCCTGGTGCTCCAGGAGACCAGCTGGGTCCTGTCCCCTCCTTGCCCACCAGGCACTGTCAGGGGAGTGGAGGGTGGGCAGGTGAGCCCAGGTTTGGGGCACTGAGGCTCCTGGTACCTGCATTTCTCAGACTCAGGTCCACCAGGTCAACTGTGTCCAGAGTGGGGTGGGGGGCCTGGCCACCAATGGGGGAATTCGGCATGGATTTCAGGCAGAGACAGACCTAGGCCTGAGCAGCCCTCTCTGCTGGGGACATGCACAAGTCAGAGACCGCTCCTGCCCCGACCCTGGCAAGCACACTGAATTCAGGTTCCAGATCCTGGGGCCCTCTGAGACCTTTGCCACACTCCCTGTGGGCCTTGGTGACCTCCTCCCTTCCCCCGTCCACAGGAGGATGGCTACAATGACCTCAGGTTTGTCAGGCAAGCCCAGTCCAGTTTCAGAGGGCAGACTCGAGGGGACCCTGGCTGCCCAGCTCCCTCGCTGGTCCTGGCTGGAAGAAGGACTGGCGGGTGGCCGAGGGCACAGGGTCTGGGGGCTGGCTGGAAATGGCTGTGAGCTGGGGAGCCCAGGGACCTTGCCTATCGGGTGTCATCAGGGACGCTGCGGATGGTCCCAGCTTAGACTTTGGCATTTGATACCAAAGGGTGACATCTTGGCCTGATGAGGGCCCCAGCCCCCACTGATGAGGAGCAGGGTGGGGGGCTGGGCCCCCACCTCGAGGCTCCTCTCCCGGCGGCAGCGTGTGCCTCCGCAGCCCGCTGGGTCAGGACCCCGGCCCGGCGTGAGCCCTCTACCTAGACTCCCTCCCAGCACTGCGCGCGGGTCCAGGGGTCCGCAGTGCCTTCCCTCCCTTCTGCCTGCTCCCAGACCTGTCTCTCTTGCCCTTGGGCCCTGGAGGCTCAGGATGCGGCCTGAGCCCTGGGCCTGGAGGTCACCTGGCCCTGGCCTCAGTGTCACCTCAGGGTCCCTCAGCCCAGCCTGGTTCTGGGAGCTCCTACCTGTGTGGGTGGTGAGGGGGCACCTGCAGGGAGGAGACACAGGGCGGGAGCAGCTGCAGGTCAAAGATCCCCTGAGTGTGCACATGACCTGCTGTGTATCGAGCCCCATTAATGTTTACCCAGGAGCTGAGGCCCCCAAGGGGATACCCCCCGAGGCCCCTGGGCCCTGTCCAGGCCCGGGTCACCCTGTGGCTAGGAGCTCCGAGCCTGACTCAGCCCAACCTGCTTGGAGTGGGGTCTCTCCCAGGGACGGGCTCCGAGTCAGGCTAGGGGTTTTGCAGGGCTGGGCACTGGTCCTCCATCCTGGACATCCGCGAGGAGGCATCTGTGTGAGCTGCTGGACACTCCACCCCCGTGCGGGGCAGGATGCTGCTGCACTGGCTGGGGCCGCCCGGGGGCCCCGAACAAAGTCTGCCCACCGCTTCCACGTTCCTCAGAGCTTTGGAGACCTTACTGTGGTTGTCCCTGCCCCTGACAGAAGGTGGCAAGGAAGCCCTTTGCACCAGGGGGGCGGGGAGGAGGGGCTTTCTCATGTAGCCAGGGAAGGCACCCAGCCCTGAGCTCGGCCTGTTCAGACCCAGCTTCAGGGCAGGTGGTGGCCAGCAGGAGGGCGCGAGCAGAGCCTCCCCCAGGCCACACTGCCCAGCCTGCTGCCTGCCCTGCCCTGTCAATTGTGAGGTGCCCCTTACTGGGACCAGCCCCCTTCCTGCCCCTGGGATGCCAGGAGGAAGAGCTCCTCTGCACAGGGCTGGCCCCAGCTCCCTGCCCCGCTGCCTGCCCCGCCATCGCCGTGTGAGTGAGGGACTTTGCCCCAGAGAAGGAGGCAGCTTCTGAGTGTCTGCTCAGCAAATTCTCTCTTCCCTTCCCGTTCTGCACCCCTGCTGAGGGGGCTCCTGAGTGGCAGTTCCTTCCTGTGGGCATGGGGTGTTGCAGCATGGCATCACAGCCTCCAGCACTTGCGTGGCTCCCCAAGGGTCTGTGTCATGACTGCCGGCAGCCGGGAAGGGGCCCAGCTTGGGGCCAAACTGGGCTGTGAGATCAGGCAGGCCTCAGAGCTAGCCCTGCCCACGGCCCTCTCCTTCGATGCCTGCATGGCCTTGTGCCCGCACAGGACCCTCCCGGAACAGCGCCCGACCCACAGTGGGGACTCAATGAAGTTTGTTGAGGGGATGGACCTCACAGGGTGACGGTGGGGCAGCAGTGAGTGAGCTGGCCTCTCTCCTGGCTCCCGCCTCTGAGACCTTTTGTAGGAAACGAGACCTGCTCTGGCATGACCCACTCAGGACCAGCCTTGACTTGGCCCTGCCCTTTTGGCCTGCAGCCTGGGCCCCTAGGACTGGCCACCAGAGTCTCCTAAGACACCCTCTGGGCTGAGTCCAGACCTGAGCTGGGCTTGCAGTGTCCCCACTAGGCACACACTGTCAGACTATGCTGGCCAGGATAGGGAGGAGGTCATGAGCCTCCAGTGGAGTCTCATGGCACTACGGCCATAGCCCCGGCCCTCGAGTGTGGCCTGGGCATGCCCATGGCTCAGGTGGCACCACTGGGCCAGTGGGCTGCATCCAGGACACTCTGCCACCGGGGTGTTCTGGGAAGACTGCTCATGATCAGAGGTTCCGAGGCAGGCCTGCCTCAGGCAGCAGGTTCCCCTGCAGGGGTGGGAATAGCAGAGCTCAGACCTCTCGGCCACCCAGGGACAGGCAGCAGAGGCTGCCACAGTCCCGGCAGCATCTAGGCGGGGGAAAGTGGGGCTGGGGGCCCAAGGTGGGGCAGAGCCCAGCCGGCTGCTGAGTGACGGTGGTGCCATCTTTGAGGGGTGTGGGGGGCCAGGGCTCCACTCTTGCTGGCTCTCGTTCAGCCTTAATGGCCAAGAAGGCAGCCAAGTCCAGGTCCAGCATGGCCACCCCTCCTCGAGGTGTGGGTGTGCTCTGGCGGCACTGCGGGCAGGGGATCCAGCGCTGCTCGTGCACCGGCGTGTCCAGCCGCCGCACGCACGCCTGGCAGAAGGTGTGTCCGCAGTAGAGGCGGCGGGGCAGGTGCCCAGAGAGGTCATAGGCCGAATAGCAGATAATGCAGTCGCTCCGCCGGGTCCCACCCTCTTCTGAGGCTCGGGGGCCTTCGGGCTGCAGCATCCTGGGGGGACGTGCGCAGGGAAGCGGGCAGTGGGCAGCGGCACGGCCTGCAGCCTGCCCAGCCCACTTCTGTGACCGTCCAGCATGGTCAGGAGCTGGGTCTGTGGGGCTGGCAGGTGTGTGCAGAGCTGGGAGGGAGGGTGGTGGCCAGTGGGACGAGTGGACACTAGAGTCGGGGCACACCCTGGTTCCCGTGGCCGCCAGCTGGGCAGTCTCCTGTCCGGATGTTCGGGTCCTTTTCACAACCCTCCCGCTCAGCCCTGGGCTCCCAGCACCCAGCCTACCCGAGCCCCAGGCCTCTCTTACCTGCATCCACACCACTGAGCGCCGGCTGTGCACAGCCACAGGGTGCCTGGAGAAGGGGGTGGGGACCCAGGGCGCCCTGCGGCTCCCTGCCTGGCTCACATTACTGGCCTAGCGGGAGTCAGCAGAGAGGCAGGTGGCCGGCCAGCCCGCGTGGGCTCCCCTTTCAGCCACAAAGGGCTTGAAACCGGATCTAACATCTGACAGCACCACCCACTCATAGGAGATAAGATGCCCCCCCTACTGCCCAGACCCGCTCCTCTGCTAACCCCCCACCGGGGCCTGGCCTTGCAGTTCATCCCCCCAAACCCCCTCCCCGCTCCACACCCTCCCCCGGGGTCCTCTGAAGGCGTCATCGCTATGTGCACATCCACGTTGATTCGTGTGACTTCTCCCCATCAGCTCAGTCCTTGCCTTGGCTTGTTCTGCCCTGTTCTTGTCCCATCGCGGGGCAGCAGCCAGCCTGTGCGGCCTCGAGGTGGCACTCAAGCACCATGTGTGGAGGTCCTCGCTCACAAACAGGGACCCCCACCCCACCCTGCCAAAGCTCAGGTGCCACCTCCCAGCTGGCATGTGCCCATCTGTGGCCTCCAGGCCAGCCCTGGGAGGCACGAGCTCCAGGAGGTGCGGTCAGTGTGTCCAGTGACCTGGACCACAGGTGGAGTGAAGCGGGGGACTGAGAGGTACTGAGGCAGGTGGGCAGCGCCCCAGGACCACTCACAGCCCCACCAGGAGGCAGAGAGGGCCCCTGCTTACTCCTGCCCGCCTTGGCAGTTGGCCTCCAGGACTGGCCAGACAGGTTCCTGTGGCTGACCTGGGTGGAGGCCGGCCATGAAGCAGGGACAAGGAGCCTGGCACACGAGTCCCTGCCCAGTCAGGGCAATGACCCATCGTCCCACACCCAGAGAGACCTCAGTACGCCACGCACCCACCCAACCTGCTGTGTGGCTGGTCACCATGCATCAGGGGAGGGCCGGCATGACGTGAGGACCCGTCTGTCCTGCACGGCCAGCTCAGGTTCCACCTCCATGCCTTGTCTCTGCCCTGCCTGGAATGCCAGGGAGCCCAATGCCGGCCTCACCACTCACTCCCTGCCCTGGCATCCTGGCCTCCCCAGCAGTGAGGCAACGTTGTGCTTGGCTCTCACACCCAGCCTGAGCCAGGCACCCTGTGCTGCTCCGACATACGACACAGGCTCAGCACCCATGGCCCTGGCCTCCTCCCAGCCCCTTCCCTGCTTCGCCTTCAAGGCCTGGTACAGGCCACCTCTTCCAGGAAGCCCAGGCCCTGAGGCAGGACAGCAGACATGCAGGAATGAGATGTTTCCTGGGAAACCAGAAACACATCCCAGGGAGGCTGGGAGGTGACTCACGGTGGGCAGGGCTCAGTCCTGGCTGTCTAGGCCCTCCGGTCCTGAGCTCCCACTCCCTGAAACCTGCCAGCACCAGTCCCACCCTCACCCTCCTCCTGGAGGCCTTCCTTGGGGCTCCTTCCCCCAGTTCCACGCATCTGACCCGCACCCGGACCATCTCACAGTCTCAGGACTTCAGCCTAGGGAGTCCAGGGCAGTTTGAACCCAGGCCTGGCCTGGCCAGGGCAGGGGATGCACTCCCACCCCCACACAGCCTCTAGACAGACCTGAGACCTGCAGGTGAGGTTCAAGTGCAGACGGTGTGAGGCTGCAGAGGGTGCGTGTGTGTGTGTGTGTGTGTGTGTGTGTGTGTGTGTGGCGCGCACGCAGTGGGAGCAGATGCTGTCATGCAGCCTGGGACTCCCTCTGGAAGGAGCCTGCAGCAAAGGACAAGAGTCACCAGGACAAAGCTCACCCTGCTTTATTGCCTGGCCTGAAGGTGGTCAAGGGTGTCCCATCACGCCAGTGCTGGGACTCCCTCTCAAGGGCCCGGTCTGAGCCGGCAGCCTTCCTGGTGAGAGGTGCTGGTCCCAGGCTGGAAGTGGCTCGTGCCTCTGACCGTGGCCACCTGCACATCTGGGCCCTGCCTGGGCTGGAGCAGAGGCTGGGTCCTGGCCCTGGCAGGGCTAGGAGACGACGCAGCAGCGGCTGTGACAGCGGCAGAAGCGGGGGCAGTGGCAGCAGCGGCAGCAGGGGCAGCAGCAGCAGTGGTGAGCAATGTCATCACCGCGCCCCACAGGCGGCAGGCCGGCATAGGTCAGTCCTGGTGGGCGCTGCCCGCTGCTGCAGGGGTTGCAGGGCTGCTGCCAGGCCTGCTGGCTCTGGGCGGGGGCAGCCCCCTTGGCGCCCTTGGGCTCTGGGACCTCGGTGCAGGCTGGCTCAGGGGCGCAGGGCCCCACGGGCAGAGGCTGTGTCTCCGAGGAGGACGAGGAGGAGGGAGCCACCTCTAACTGCTGCCCCAGGTCAGGCCGCAAGTGAGCGCGGGGGATGCTGATGTGGGCATAGGGGTTCTTGACAACCATCTCGTGGGGGTCCATGGCCCAGCCTGCAGGAGTGGGCACAGACGACACAGGTAATGCCTCGGTGGAGGGGCACGGCTGCCCGAGAGCTGCAGCCCAAGAAAGCCCCCACCCCAGGAAAAGCCGGCCTTGTCAAGGCGTCAGTGGCCATGGGCGTGGTGCTCTCCAGGTGTGTACACCGACCCCTGTTGTAGGCCGAGCCGAGTGTGAGCAAGCAGTGAGGGCCAGGGACTCCCAGCTGCCACCCCCCACGGGTCCCCCTCCCTGAGTGGCACTGCCACTGGGAAGGGGTTAGGGAAGGCTGGCGACTGGAAGAGCAAGGGGCTTGCCCTAGGGCACCCCTGGGCTCAGCAAAGCCCCCACAGGCAAGGACTCACCTGCAGGGTGGTGGCAGTGGCGGCAGCCAGTCCTCTTGGCCCTCCAAGTTCCAGGTCCCAGTGCCTGAGCTGAGACATTGGCAGCCGCCTTTTCCCTCCTTGGGAGGGTGGGGCCGTGGGGCGGGGCCCAAAGATGGGGTTCCCAAGATCCCGAGAGGCCACAGCAACTCAGCTGGATCACCCCTGATTCTTAGGTAGGCGGCAGCCCAGGCCTGGGCTCGAGCCACACGGTCAACCTGGGGTGACTCAACCTGGACACATTCGGGGCATGCCCTGGGCCAGGAAGGAGGGCAGGAGGTGAGGCTGAGGTTATGGCCCCAGGAAGGAAGTGGGTCTGGCAGGTACTCACACACCTGGAAGCCCCTTCTGGGGCAAAGTTCTCCACGTGAGCCCAGTCTCTGCAGAGACTACCAGTTTGAGAGCACAAACTACTTGGAGAGTTTTCCACTGTTTTAACTGGTAAAAAAATGTTTGATTCACACGTTTGTCACACGTCTCTTATATCACAGTTCGTGTCACGAGCTGGAAACACTACCAACATCTTGAGCTCGTTCCTGGAACGCAGTTCCCTCTGGAGGCGCGTGGGGGACCACACGCCGCCTCCCCAGTGTCCCACGTTGTGCCCTGACCGCTCCCGCCCTGGCAGCCTGGGCTGCTCCATCTGCCGGGAGGTGCGCAGGGCCGCCGCGGGCAGGAGGCCGGTGGGGGTGAGCCGGGAGCGGGTTAAGCCCAGCGGGTAAAGGGATGACCCTGGGAGGTGGCGAGGTGAGCTCGGGGCAGTGGGGCGGGGGCTGCAGCAGGAGGGGCGGGACCAAGTCAGACCGGCCCGGACACGAGTCCCGGAAACCCGGCGCCGGCGGCAGGCGACGCGGGTCTAGAGAACCGGGACTCGGGGAGGCGGACGACAGAGGCCCACTGCGCGGGCGCCGGAAACCGCGCCCCCGCGCACTGACCCGCCCTTTGCGTGGCGGAAATGGCGCATGTGCAAACCAGGCCGAAGGCGGAAAAAAGAAATTTTATTTCCCAGAAGTCACCGCGCTTCAGGGTTTCCCAAAAGACCCGGTTCGGAGGACTGATCCTCGGCTTGGGCCGCCCCAGCTCCGAATGGCGCGGCGGGGAGGCCTGGGCTTGGGCGGGGCCTCACCCATATGGGCGGGGCCTCACCCATATGGGCGGGGCCTCACCCATGTGGGCGGGGCCTCCACACCGGGGCGGGGCCTGCCCCGTGGGTCCGAGAGCAGAGCCTGCGGCGGAGGGTGGGCTTCGAGCCCGCCCCTGGCCTTGCCTGCCTCAGTTTCTCCCCCGTCACGCTAGGGCCCCGTAGGGCCCCCGCCGCCCTGGGCGGTGCTCCTGTCACTGCTCTCGCTGGGTGCGACCAGGCCCCGGGCGCGGGTCCCCCAGAGCGGCGAAGCAGGCCCCGGCACGCGCCTGCAGCCCGTCCGCCCACGCGCGCTCCGGCCCCTCTGGCCCTGGGCCCTGGGCCCTGCTGGGAGCCCGGCGCCGACTGCCTGGGCAGAGAGCGCTGTGGCCCAAAGGGGCCAGGACTGTCGGGGTCAAGTGCAGGGCCCAGCGCTGGTCACAGAAGTGGCAGCACGGCACGTGGCTGTGGGCAGCCAGGAGAGGAAGCAGGAAAGGATGCGGCCTGTGCACGGCCTGAGCTGGGGGCATGCCCAGGGTGTGTGTCCCGCGAGGGCCGCCCTCGCTGGGCTGCGGCCTGCCCGCCTGCCCGCCTGCCCAGGTGTCTGCTTGGTCTTCTGCAGAATCTCATCCCGGGTGTGCCCACAGTCCCCAGAGCCTTCTCCTGACGCCCGACCCGCCCTGTCCACCCTCTGACGTCTGCTCGCCCACCTCCACTCATCCCTCCGAGGGCACCTTGCCCTCTCTGAGCAGCCCAGGCTGGGCAGGCTGAGTGCTGAACCCTGGGGCGTGCCCACTGGGGCTGGCAGAAAGGACAGGCAGGGACAGTTAGGTTTAGGGTTAGGGTGGTTCAGGGTGGGGCCCTGGGAGCCCGTTTTCCTGGGACCCACCTGCGGGTCTCCTCCTCTCCCCCTCCAGTATCGTGGGGCCTGGCACCGCGAGGAAGGAGAGCAGGACTCCCTTCCAGAACTAGTGGAGGGGTGCTGACCAGGAAAGGGGCAGCCAGGAGAGGAGGGGAGGGCTTGGGCGACGAGGGGGCCCTAGCGGACAGAGGGGCGGCCAGGAGACTGGCCCCGCCCCGCGGACCCCGCGCGGGTCCCCAGACTGGGGGGGTGGCGCTGCGGGCGCGGGCGGGCGCCGCGCGCACTGCGGTCCCCGCGCCTCCGCCGCAGAGCGCGCCACGCTCCGCACGCACCTGCCGCCGCCACCGCCGCCGCCGCCGTCGCCGCCGCGCTGCGCC